GTTCAGTTGTCCTGATGGCTAGTGCTTTGAGTTGGTTAACTTTGCTCTATATCTTCAGTACCTTCTTGACAGGTGAGTTGAAAACTTTACCTCCTTTGGACTGACTCCTCTCTTTCTTTCTCTTTATTCGTGCTGGCATTTTTATCTTTGGAAACCCAAAAGACTGAGAGATGACAGGTATTTAGCTAGACAGCTGAAGTCTTGGTCACAAGCCAGAGATGGTGGCTACATATCCACCCTAAACAAAATATTTTTCAGAGTGTACTTTGAGATCAAATTTGCAGTATGCGTTCTCAACTCTGTCAATTTCATTTCCTTTTAAAAGGGGGGGGGGAACAGTTTGGACATGTTTTCATAACAGGTGTAAATAATAATAAATTAGTTTGCAGTGTGATACAGTCACATTGGGAATTTAAAAAAGACTAAATTGAAGTTGAATGAACTATTATATAGAAGTATAAAAACTGCAGTCTTCGCCCTTTCCCCCACCCTACATGCACTTTTTCTCTTGCATGCATGAATACACACGCGCACACACACTCTCTCTTCCATAAGGAATTTTACATGGACTACTACAGCTACAGGAGAGCTTATTGTTCACAGTCAAGCCCCTTATTAGGATATTTAAATCCTAGAATCTAAATCTTTTGGACCTGCAAATTAATGTTGAGATACATGAAGAGCATTTACATGTTAAGTGCTAATTTCAACATCCAACTACTACTGTGTTATATTTCTATATGGCTTTTCACACAGAGATCGCAAAGTGGTTTCTAAAGGAGGGCTAGTAAAATTGTGAACTTAATGTATAAATTGGTAAACTGAGGCAGAGAAATGAAGTTTCTTACTCAAGACCTCATGAGTACCTGTCTCTTGATGTCCAGCCCCTTCCTCACACCAATAGACAACGCTGTTTACCTTATTTGAAAATTGAATTCACAGCATTCAGGCATATATACATATGCCCTTTTGTAGAATGTATGTACTCCTGTTACGGACCCACTTCCAGAAGCTGGGAATGGGTGACAGGGGATGGATCACTTGATGATGACCTGTTCTGTTCATTCCCTCTGAAGCACCTGGCATCGGCCACTATCAGAAGACAGGATATTGGGCTAGATGGACATTTGGTCTGAGCCAGTATAATTAATCTTATGGATTAGTTTGGTTTCAATAAAAATCTAAAATTAGATTGTATATCTGAAGCTTACTGGAGTTTCTCCAGAGCACTCTGTTGAAGTATTCAGGTGGAAATGTCATGAAAACAGGGTTCAATTGCTCGTGAGATGCCTTTTCTCATTGTTGACCATAGTAAATGAAGAATGAGTCTGGACATCAAAAGAGATACAATGTTGTTGAGTGGTTAAAAGAGAAGCCTGGGAATCAGGGCACCTGGATTATTCCTGGCTCTGCCACTGACTGTATAGACTTGAGTAAATCACTTAACTGCTCCGTGCCTCAGTTTCCTCATCGCCAAAATAAGTGTAAAATATTTTTCTTTCTCTACACATTTCGAATGCACCCATCACTGCCATATGTAGGCTGCCTCAGAGAGATGTTGGGGGAATGAATTAAGCATGGTAACGTGCATTGTGTTCTGTAGATCAAAGGTGCTGTTATATAAATGCAAAGTATTATTACTGTTACTAATGAGGAAATAAGAGTGGGTGGTGATTATCCAGCACTGTGCTGTTCCATGGCACATAATGTCTGGCAGCTGCGCTTTGAGCCCTCGATGTACTCCCCTTGCAATGTTAGCTTACCCCTTCATCTGCCTTCTCGCTGCTCCTTACAGGGACCTTCTCCACATCTGCAGACTGCAACATGGACTGCCAGACCTGCTGCCTCATTGACTGCAATAAGGGTCACTACTATACAGCTGGCAACTGCCTGGAGTGCCCCGTCGGATTTTAGTAAGCAAGTCATCTTTCTCTCTAATATTCCCCCTTCCGCTGCTCACCCTCCACTTAAATCTAAGTATAAGACAAGAGAGAACAGATGGATATAAACACACAGGGGAATCAATATGAGACAGTATTGTCTAATCAGACAAGAGAGAACAGGGTGCGGGGAAAGGGTATAACACACAAGTAGAGTGGACGGTGCGATGTTCCACAATTTCTCTGGTTTGGTTTTGGTTTGGGGCTTTTTGGGGTGGGTTTACCTGAGGAGGGGGATCAAGTAAATGGAAAAACAGGGAAAGGAAGGGAGGTGAGGGTGAGAGGGGCAGATATGGAGTGAAACTGAGGGGAAGAGACAGTGAGGAGGAGAGTTGGAGCCAACAGCCCAGGGCAGAGACAACCAGAGAACATTCTAGATTGCTGTGGAATGTCCAGAGGTCCCTGTTTGGGCTGCTCCAAAGGTGGGAATCTCGGGCTGGCTGCTCCCTGCAGTTTTTCCCCAAGGCCACACAGTTTGGAACAGAGGCACCATCTGGATCCTAGTGCCCCCAGCATTGGAGGGAAGGTCTCCCCTGTACAGTTCTGGGTCCAGAGGGCTGCTGGGGGCACGGGTTGCCATATAACCACCTCCCTCCCAGTACAGCAATCCCTCCTTTGGCTGCTTCTGGTCCTACTGACTGAAGTTTCTGACAAGGAGACTACTGCGGGCTTTAGATTTGAGTGGTCCTACACCTACTCAGAATGGTCGAATGGGTGTTTGAGCAGCCTGTATTTAGGGCACTGCCCTAGGGAAGCTGACAGTGACAACAAACTTGCAGGGAGTAGGGGGAGCAAAAGACACAGGAGTGAAATGGTTAATTAAAAAATTAATCTGGCCTTGTTTTTAATCCAGCTGTCCAGGAGGTCGAGCAGCTCCTCGGAAATGCCCAGTGGGAACAGCCAATCAGCTCACAGCTCAAACAGATATCACAGCCTGCCAGGTGAGCAGGTGGATGGGAGTGGCACTCCCCATCTGTACACAGAGATGGTGTGACTTGTCTGTCTCCTGCCTTCTCAGATTTTCCAGCGTAGTTTTAAACTCTGTCACAAAATCCACTCACTTTATCTGCCGGGGATATCTCAGTCAGCCGCAGAGAGAGCAGCAGGGCTCTGCAGGGGGATACAAAGCAATGCAATGTCCCTGTTCAATATTTACACTGCTGGCAGTGTAACATACAGTGCTAGGACTCCTCTTGGAACACAGTGCATGCTGGGCCAAACAGCATATGTCAGTAAGTAGCAAGCACAGTATCTGAGTGACCATCTTTCATTTAGTTGTTACATGTCTCAGCAGAGGCACGACACCTGCCTTCACTGTCATGTGAATCAGTCTGGCATAGTTGACAGAGCACTGAGCTGGCACTCAGGAGACCTGGGGTCTGTTCCTTGTTCTGCTGCTGCATGACCTTGCGCAAGTGATGTCCCATCCCTTTGCTTGAGTTTCCCTATCTGTAAAGTGGGGAGAACGATGATACTTAACTCCCTTTGTAAAGCGCTTTGAGATCTACTGATGAAAAGCACTATATGAGAGCTAGGTGTTATTAGTGTTATCCTTTGCAACATCACATCCAAGCATTAGTGCTTTTTCCAGCCATCAGTAATACATTAGAGGCAGACAAAACTGCAAGTGAATTTGTGTTTTCAAAATCTTGCCAGCTGAGCTAGTTTCTGTCTAGGTTCCATTTGTCCAAACCACATAGCTTAGGATGGGGGCAGTTCAGATTCTGGCCCTTCTCTGATTGTGGTGTAAAACACATACTGTCGTCAGAAGAAATACCCAGGTTGATTTCAGGGGACTCACCTGCTCCATTCCCCTACAAGGAATCATTCTTTCATGTAGCCCGTTGGCCTTCCTTCCAGGGCTCTGAAGAGTAACAGCAAGGAGATTGAGCGGGATCGTCCATCTACTTCCTTGCACTTATCACACTCCCAGATTTATTCACCAGTTCCCCAAAGGCTTGTGATTCAGACGGATTTAAAGAGGTCCTTATTTTGCAGCAAGAAGAGGCCAGTGCTTGGGCTGGGTGCATGGAGGAGCTGTTCATTTACTGATGATTGTTCTGCAGGTGATGGCTGTGTTTCTGTCACTCATCAAAAAGTGGGACTAACGTGCTCAGTCATCTGCTTGTTGATGTTTCTAACCTCCCACTGACAGGCTTGCCCGGACGGCTATATCAGCTCAGAGACCAGAGTGGGGTGTCGCTTGTGTCCAGATGGCTATTTGTGTGATCCACACAGTGGTTTGCAGAAGAGCTGCAATCCTGGTCAGTACTCACCTGAGGGAGAGCTGGAGTGTTGGGAGTGTCCCCAAGGATACGTCTGCCCTGATGGACGAAACAGACAGGTACTGTATGCAACACAATGCTGTTTGAGCCTGAATCCCCATGCATCCTAAACAAAGAAGGCCTGAAGATGGTGATGTGGGTGTACCATCAGGAGAGGGCATGTCTCTGTGGGGTGGTAATAGGACATGGAGCCTTTTGTTGTCAGGAAGCTTGTTCAAATACAGCTCAGGTTCACAGTGAATCTCAGATTTTCTATAGATGGCCTCTGTGAAATGAATTTGGTGAGTCTCAGTCCAGTACCCAGTAGATTTGTGTCCATGTCACAAAAAACCCGAGCCTCTCAGCTATGGATTAAAAGAGCCATGGAGTCTGGAGCACCTTCTTGCATCCAAAGATGATCCCCCTAGAACAGGGGTTCTCAAACTGGGGGTTGGGACCCTTCAGGGGGTCACGAGGTTATTACACGGGGGGTCGCAAGCTGTCAACCTCCACCCCAAACTCCGCTTTGCCTCCAGCATTTATAATGGTGTGAAATATATAAAAAGTATTTTTAATGTATAGGGGGCATTGCACTCATAGGTTTGCTATATGAAAGGGGGTCACCAGTACAAAAGTTTGAGGACCCTCCCTAGAACGGGGCTGGAGCACTTTAGCTGGGTAGTGGCACTGGAAGGTCGCTTCAGCTCTATGCATAAACAGAGCTTTGGCCTTCAGTCCTGTCAATCCAGCACCTTTTGCCAGCTCTAAAATATAGTCCAGTCTGTTTTTTCCCCTTAGCATTGTTCAGCTGGCCAGGAGCCAAACCCCAGCCGCACGCATTGTGTAACCTGCACTCTCGGCTCTTTCTCCACCAAGGAAGCTCTGGGATGCCAGCCCTGTCCAGCAGGTAGGCAAAACTCTATTCAGCATCCTCAAGCCCCTTCCTTAGCCTTTAAACCTGGGGTATGAGGGAGTCCCATCAGTAACAACGCTTTGCACATCCCAGGGTTTTGGAGCACATGTGGCTCTCATATTGTACATTGCAATGCACGTCGGGGGGGGGGGTCCCCCACCTCTGATCAATGCTCCACTCACTGTCTAGATCTCAAGGAACTGAGCAAATGGGATCTGGCAGTGTGTGAAACTCATTTGCATGCTGTAGGTAAGAGCTGGTCCTGCACCTAATTAAGGGGGGAGGGAAAACACTCTTGTCCAGGTCCTCAACAGCCAAGAAGCAGTGGCAGAGGACGGAGAAGGGGCAAGGCTTCCACATGATGATGTCATAACAGAAATAGTCATGGATCTGGACTGAACCCCCAATCTACACACCCCCAGCTTTGGCATGATGGTGGAGTTTGGGAATATGAAATCAGATCCAAAATTTGCAGTTTAATGTCCACTTCAGTCAATATCTGATGAAGTAGCTTCAAGACACGATGCAATGTGACAACACAAGTGTTGCCAGGCCACATGACAATTACTTTCTGACACTATTCAATGATAAAGCAGCTCTCACTCTGTGATTTAACCGATCACCTGTATAACTGCTTTGAACTCAGGATAGCACTTTCTATTTGAGGATCTTGTTGAGCATCACCTTCATTCATTACCTCTCAAACATACCCATGTAAAATGGGTATTCATATTCCCATGATAGAGATGGGGAAACTGAGGCACAGAGTGTTCACTTGACTTGGGCAAGGCAACAGTGAGTCTGTGGCAAAACCAGGAATAAAAGTTAGGAGTCATGATTCCCAGGCTCCTGCTCTAACCACTAAACAATGATCTCTCAGACACTGATTTATTATTATTACTTTATAGATTGGCTTTTAAATTGGAACAGAGAGAGCACTTATTTACCATGGGGTTTGCTATGCAAGTAATTAAGTGAATTTTCATTTCTGTTTTGTGAGCTGCTATTTGAAGAGCTGCTCACTTTTACTGTCCATTTCCTCTCTCTGTTTTTTTTTCCAGTGAAATCCTAATAATCCTGTCTTGAGGACATCATAGTGTGTCATTGTGGGAATGAGAAGGGTGTCACACATTCATCATTGTGATATTAGTGCAGAATCAAGTGCAGCAGGAAGATGGGCTGGGAGGGACTTGTCTTTTGTTTTTAAACAACTGTCTGAAAATTATGAAAGCGTAAAATATTATGCAGATGACTGATTAGCTCAGAACCAGCAGAGAAAATGAAGGAGAAACATGTGAAAACAACCTAGTTCCATTTCACAGGCACTTGCTGTTCAGAGATATTCCACACCACAAACATTTCAGTTGAAATTGACCTAAATTCATTTTGGGAATAGTTCTAAGCCTGGGAGTAGCTGTGAGTGTCCCCAAGCCTCTACTCTTGAGGTATGTCCTCACTGCAGAGTTAACTTGGGCTTTGACTTGGATGCTGCCACTAACCCCTCTCCCATCCACACACACAAGCCTCTGACCTGTGTTTGGTGCTTTCAGCCCAGGCTGGTTGGGGCTGTAGGCTAATGCTTCAGTGCAGCCTTCATTTGAGCTGGTAGCCCTTTGCAGTGAGGAACCCAGTAACTAGATCACTTCAGTGCCTTCCCACACACAATCCTCTCTGTATGTCCAGAAGGACAGACAAGTTCTCCCATAATTCACTGGGAAAGAATCACAGAGCGGCTCTGCTCTACTGTGGCACACAGAGCCATGGGGTATGTCCCTAGAAGATCTAGTGACACACACAGGGAAGTGCCACACCAGTAATTCTGGGAGGGCTTTGACATGTAGTTGCTAAAACTTGCCTAGGCTACGCTGGATGCTCAGACCCAGGTGCTGATCACCCAAAGGAACTCTAAAGTGAAGACATACCTTTGCTGTGGGAAAGGCTGGGAATGGAGTGTCTCCTGCTGAGAGAGGGTGGAGCTGGAATAGCTTGTCTTTGTGCACGTGAGTGGTTGATACCATTAGTGGGGCCACAGGTATGAGTTCCCTCAAGCCACAGTCAGAGAGACAGGATCTGAAGTAGCTGTGAGGTCACCCAAGTTAGCTTCACTGTACTATACTGTTCCCTACAATATCCCCAGTTGGAAGAGGCTGGGAATGGGACAGGAGTAACTGTGAGTTCCACGATAACCATGACAATCTACACTGTTCCTTGCATTGACTCTGTCTATGTAGGTTTTTTGGCACTATCTATATTTTGCTAGCCCCATCGATTCCTAATACTGCCTCTTCCTGGGAGAAGGTGGAACTGTAATAGCTGTGCATTTGTGCACGTGAGTGGTTGGTACCATTGCTGGGGCCACAGTTCATATTGTTCAGTCATGCTAGGCTTTCCTTTCCTCTAAGCAACATTGCTGCATCTGAAGCTGAAGTATTTAATGAGCAGCTGCAGGTGTCTCCTGCAGAGTCACTGAACCCAGTAACTTGATTCTCATGTCAGTAATTAGAATCCCTCTTATTAAATAATGAAGTGTTCTTGTATTCTAGATGCCTTGCTTGTTGTCTGATAAAAGGAGAAATGGAGTGGCTAGAGAGATCGGGATAGCATCAAGGCCCCAGAGGTTCATATTCAAATGCTGCCTGTAATTCACTACTATGGAAATTGAATAATGCACGCTGAGGTTACCAAACTTCCAGCTACTGGGACTAAGGATATACAAAAAATAGCACTCACCTAGGAGACCTGAGTAAAATGTGGGAGGGGAGAATGGCTTAGGGTATGTGTGTAATGTTACACATCATTTACGATGTTGTATAGAGGGTTGGGCATGTAATGTTTGCTGCAAACAAACTCCAGGAAATGTTGGCTTCTTTAGACTTTGTGAAGGATTTGCAAACCAGCCCTGCTATTTGCAAAACTGTTGAGTACTTGCAAATATTTAACCAAGTGAACAAATGGCAGGCTATGGCCAGATCTGAGATATTACAGTGATGAGACTATTACTTTTCTTATTATTCATATTGCAGTAGAAACCAAAGGCTCCATCCAGGATTGGGCCCCCATTATGCTAGGTGCTGTACATGCACATAATAAGAGAGACGCTCTAGGTAGGTGACAGGTGAAATATTTACAAAGTATCCATGTTGGATTTTAATATTAGTCTTCCTGGTATTCTAAAGGGTAGAATGCATGTGTTCTACATCAGATATATGTCTGATTGAATCAAACAGACCATTTTTTGAAGCTCAAGGATATTAAAGAGTTTGGATATGGTCAAAGGGGATTGAAACCCTAGAATTCATGATGTTCTTTTCCACTGTTTGACTGACTTTAATTGTGTGTAATCTGTACACTGAATACCATGCGTGAGAGAATAAAAAGCCATTGCTATGCAGATAGATTGGGATATATTTCAGCATAGCAATGGCACTTTTATGCCACAATTAAATCCTTTTATTTTTTTCATTCTTCAAATAACCATCTGGAGTTTAGTAAAGCATTTGATACCAAGTCTCACAGAATCTTACTTGGAAAAATTAATTCAAACTGGCTTGGATGTGAGCACTTTGTTGCTAAATGCAAACTGGCAGAAGGTCCGTAAATAAAGGATAGAGATATCTGGCGACGCATCAAGTTGTCAGGGGACATCTGATGAAGTAACAGAACTCACTGGTTTAGGTCTGATCTCATGTAACACCTTCATTAATGAACTAGGAAAAGACATAATTGGAAAAAAGGAGAAAGAATTAAATTTTTAACAAGAAAAATCTTCATGTTTTTATTTGAAATTTCATTAAAAAATGAAGATTTTGTTGGAATTTCAAAGTTCAGACACTTTTTACCAGCTCTATGGTTGGTTCAAACACAAGAAACATTTATTGGTGAGCGTTTCACTGGAATTTTTTCCTGACTTTTTTTTTAGAATTTTGAAATTTTGTCAAAATTCGATAGATTTTGGCCAGCTCTAGTACTTGGATTCTATGAAGACGATGGATTGGGTGAGTTAGTGGGACTGTGCCATTTGCTGTGTCCGTGTGTCTCTGTTTATACTGCAGAAAGAAGTTGTTGATATTCTTCACAGCAGCATTATTTGGCACTTCAGAAATGAGTATGCTCTTGGATAAAAGAAAAGTTAGTTACATAAATTGCAGCTCTCTGGGCTTATACAGACTAGAGCTGGCTGAAATGTTCTTGAGTTTCAAAATCTCAATGAAAATTTTCACTGAAATTTCAAAACAACCAAAAAAACATTCCAACCAACATTTCACATCCCTCCCTCTTCTTGTTTTTCAACCAGCTATAGAGGTGGTTGCCATTATTCAGATTTTAAAATTTGGGTGTTCTCAGCTTTCCAAATTTTAATAAAAAAGCAGGATTCTCTTTTTTTTTCTTTTTCTTCTTTGTTTACTTCAAATATTACAATGTTTGGAGCTTTGATAGAAGCCCTCTCTCTGGATTTCTTGACCATTCTTCAGTTTTGATCTTTTTCGCTATAAATCCTGTAAAATTGCTTATCTAGGTCTGTTGGATATACCTGCCTTTGAAAATCAAAGTGCTTTACAGCTCATTTGATTACATTTCTGGGGCAGTTTCTAGTACTACCCCCAGATGCTCCTCACCTGTGACTTGAAACAATTTAGCAGCTGAGTAAAAGAGCTGGAGTCAGAGGGAGAGGGAGTTGGCGATAGGTAATGTGAGTCCGGTTTTGACCTCCAGTATCACCTGGCTTTCATTCACACTCTGTATGGGGTTTTATTGGAGCTCTGAGTACTGCAATATTTTCCTTTCCCTTCCTTTAAGTGTCTCTGGCATTTCATGGCCAATAGTTCTGAAACCCTTTTAATGTGTAAGTTATCAGGAGCTTCAAGGAGGACAGTGCACTTACTAAGCCAGCCACCCTGTACAGGGTCTGCACTGTTCCTATCAATAATATACCAGCTTGCTCCATTACAAGGGGCCATTCTCACCTCAGCTGCTCTCTTTGAGTGCATGAGGCATGCACGGGCCCTGAGAGATCGTGTGCTGCTCTATCATGTTGCCTCATCACTCGCTGTTAAATTTTATTTTAGGCCATTATTGTCCGCACATTGGTACCATCCAGCCTCTCCCTTGCCCACCTGGTTCCTGCACTGATGCCCCTGGGAAGAGTGAGTGCCAAAGGTGCAATGAAAGTTCCTGCTGTTTGGATACTGTGGGTCAGATTCAACAGGACCGTGAACCCGTTGAATCACCAGAAGGCCTGCAATGCCAACCATGCCCATCAGGTGAGCTGTACGCTTTTTAGTGCTTGCATACATCCACTCATAGACTCATAGACTTTAAGGTCAGAAGAGACCATTATGATAATCTAGTCTGACCTCCTGCACAACGCAGGCCACAGAATCTCACCCACCCCCACCTGTAACAAACCCCTAACCTATGCCTGAGTTATTGAAGTCCTCAAATCGTGGTTTAAAGACCTCAAGGTGCAGAGAATCCTCCAGCAAGTGACCAGTGCTCCACGCTGCAGAGGAAGGTGAGAAACCTTCAGGGCCTTTGCCAATCTGCCCTGGAGGAAAATTCCTTCCTGACCCCAAATATGGCAATCAGCTAAACCCTGAGCATGTGGGCAAGACTCACCAGCCAGCACCCAGGAAAGAATTCTCTGTAGTAACTCAGATCCCACCCCATCTAACATCCCATCACAGACCATTGGGCATATTTACCTACTAATAATCAAAGATCAATTAATTGCCAAAATTAGGCTATCCCATCATACCATCCCCTCCATAAACTTATCAAGCTTAGTGTTGAAGCCAGATATGTCTTTTGCCCCCACTACTCCCCTTGGAAGGCTGTTCCAGAACTTCACTCCTCTAATGCCTCATCTAACAGGCATTTAGAGAGTGTGAGCCAAAACCCAATGGAATGACTCCCATTGACTTCAATGGGCTTTGGTTCAGATCCCGGAAGACCTGAGTTGGGGGTTCCTTTTTCCAAGCAGTGCTCCATACAGTTAAACACTCACCCCCACTCCTTGCATGTATCACTCTGCAAATGGAAGAGTAAAAGGTGTGCTTGAGGAGTGAATCACCTGACAAGCTTGTTTCACACATTGAGCTTTGCAGTGTGATGTAGGCTTTGTCAAAACCCAACACACTGGGGCTAGGCATGAGCCATCAATCCACAAACTCAACCTGCATTGTGATATTATGATATTTACATCACAGTGTCCTCTTCAGGATGTCCTAATGCCAGAGCTTTAAGACTCGACCCTTGGGTAGGGGCAGGACCAATTAGTAGGCTACTAGTATGAAACCTGTAAGCACTCTGCTGTCTTCTCCTCAGCCCTGCAGCCCATACACACTCTAAAGCTGAGCTCCCAAAGCATGGCACAATGGGACTTGCAACTCCCTGAGATTTGTCCATACTTACCCATGCGTCTGACTCAGTATGGCCTCCATTTGATACTCTGTGTGGAACAGCCTAACAGTGAACTATCTCCTCTCTGAAGTGGCTTCTCAGGAGACTGAACAGCACGGAATGCAGTTTCCCAGCCATGTATGTTGTTCTGACTGCCTCTTCTCTCAGGTCACTTTTGCGCTGATGGATTTACAGCCCCTCCATGCCCAGCAGGGAGCTTTGAGCCCCGAGAGCAGTTCTGCAAACCCAGCGATGGCTCCTCATGCTTGCCAGGTCTGTGTTTTATTTCATCTCCATTTTGCACAATGGGGGGAAATAATTCTGGATCTAAATCACCCTGCTAATTAGTTGCTTATACAGGGTATGACAGTTATAGTGCTTATTTACTACCCTCTGGCTGAGATGGTATTGTAGAGCACAGAGAGGAGAACACCTAGGAAATCTCCTACTCACCTCCAGATGTGCAGCGAAGCTTTTAGGAATTATTAGAACTTCAAAATAAGATAAAAATGGGTTATTATGTGTAATGGAAGTTATTTAAAATGCAATAGAAGAGGAGATTTCAAATAATTTTTGGCTGGCGAAAGGAACAAGATTAATGTGCCCAGAGATCAAAGCCTTACGCTGAACCTCTTGATATGTAAGAGGTGGACAGTGGCAGAGTAATAGGAAGTCAGTAGTATTTGAACCTAGATCCTTCAGATCTGCAGCACAGAACTCTGTCACTTGAACTAAAGGAGTAATTCCATTGGCTGCCTTCAGTAGTAGGTTGTGCTCTGATAGCAGATCAGCCACTAGAGGGGGATGCAAAACGCATTTTGCAAGGGTCCTGCACAAGCTTCCCCAACACATTGAACTCCTGACAATCATTTCCTCGAGGGACCAGCCTCCCAACAGATATCGGATGATGTTGATGATTGTCCGTTGCTATAGACATGGGTCATATTCACAGCACTATGTGTACAAGGCAGTGAAGCTACCCACACACACTGACTGGCCAACATTCAGGTTACTGAAACACGGGCATTTATGACATTTGCTGATAACTTTATCAGTGGAACACACATCTGAAAGACTTTGGGGTCATGGTTTTTAGAGCGGCTTAGCACCTACAGCTGCTGTTGACTTCAGCTGTCAATGCTCAGCACCTCAGACCTTCCCAAAAATTGTGCCACAGACACGGCAAAAGAATCACAAGAGGAGTCACTTTCTTCCAACACTGAAGAGGGGATTTTATTGGAATAAGGAAATCTATTCCTAAAACTTCTCTCTTTCAAGCTGCTTTACTGCAGAGTTTCTGTCTAGTTCCTTCCCCAGATCCATCCTGCCTGCCTACCCATAGGTGCTGGGGGACCAAAGGGCCATTAGCTCTCACTTTTTAAACAGGGTGGTCGTGCCCCCACTTTTGAAAACCTGAATTCGGTGGGGGAACAGCAAGTAGGGAAGGGAACAGGGGGCCCAGCCCCCCTGACCAGAACTGGATGGCTTAACAGCAGAACATCATCCTGCTGGTAAGACAAGGGGTGGCTAAGCCAAATCTGAGTGACTGGTGTTGCAGCCTGGTGCACAGGATCACAATGCCACTCAAATTTGGCCTATTTTGGTTGCTTGGTGCCCACACATTTGCAGTCATTCCAGCACCCAGGTGCCTTCCTGCCACAGATTCACAGCCACCCAGCTTATCACTAGCTTAAGCTGCTTGGTGAGAGAATCGGACGCAGAGCTGCCATGACTGTCCACCTGGAGAGGGACAAAAAGGAAACTAGTTTCATGGCCAGTTCCAGGGGAATGTAGAAGAAATGTTGTGGCGTGGGGAAAAGGAGGTTCAAATAAGATGTCCATGGATTAAAAAAAGACTGAATTACTTTATGGTCAATAAAAACATCTATATATATATTTATGATCAGATAGGGGTCAAAGCTTATGTTTCAGGGCATTGTGGGTGCAATTCACTCTGATGCAGAGCGACAGCACAAAGGTATGTCCCCCTCAAAATAGGAATTAAGGCTGGCCCTCTGCACAGGGGTGACTTCGCACTAGCTGATCTTTGCAGGGGCCAGGAAGAAATTTCCACCTTTGTAGAGCATTGCACAATGGTTAGATGCTGTATGGTTTGTTTGGTCTAAATTGGTATGGCAAAGCCTATGCACCTAGCACACAAGCCACTGATAAGTGTTTCCTGTTCCTAATACACCTCTACCTCGATATAACGCTGTCCTCGGGAGCCAAAAAATCGTACCACGTTATAGGTAAAACCGTGTTATATTGAACTTGCTTTGATCCACCGCAGTGTGTGCAGTCCCGCCCTCCTGGAGCACTGCTTTACCGCGTTATATCCGAATTTGTGTTCTATCGGGTCGCGTTATAGCGAGGTAGAGGTGTATGTGAGGGAGAGGTCTGCTACTGTCTGCTGTGGGTATCTGAATATCCGGTGCCACCGCATGCAGCACAACATGCATATCCCTGCAGGCATGCTCTTGAAAAGATGAGGTCGCTTACACAGTCCATTCCATTTAAAAACAGGTTTATTTTACTCACCTGTGACGTCCATTAGGACAGGAGATCAATGGTTTGGCCACTGGCCTCTGTCTTGACGTTTGTCCTAACAGATGACACCTGTAAGTGAAACAAATCTGTTTTTAATGGAACAGACTGCCTGAGCGGCCTCCTCTGAAACAGAGGGCACCTTCATGAATATGCATCAAGTGCACAAAATCAGGGCCCGATCCGGAAACTCGCCACTAGTCTCACTGCCTATCACCCTGTGAGAACACTGATGCAGATTAGTCTGTCTGTCTGTAAAGCATTTAAATCCCAGGATTCCTGAGACATATCTTGAGAAAACCTGGACCGTGTCAAAGCTGAGCTGTTCAAAGTTCTGTGTGCTGACTATAGAGCAAAGAATAGGCCTTCAGTATATGACGCCAATTGGGCTGCTTGCATGAATAAGGATTTGTAAGCTCTAGCCCCTGGGTTGGCTTTATTTTATTTTTGTAATTTATCTTGAAAGGTGCTGAGTGCCCTCAACATCCAGAAAAGACAGGAATCCTTAGCAGCTTTCAGAATGATGCCCCTAATAGACTTCTCTCTACGAGAAAACCAGATCTTGTTACCTTGAGGAATCCTGTTACATAATCAGCATAACACCGAATTCTCATATAGCATTCATCTGTTTCATCTGTAGATATCAAAGCACCACGCAAAGGAGGATAAATATTATGATCCCCATTTTGCAGATGGGGAAACTGAGGCACAGAGCAATGAACTTGCTCACGGTCACCCAACAGGCCAATGGCAGAGTCAGATGGCATAGCAGTCAGTTCAGACAGGCACTGTTGTGTCTAACTTCATGTCAGCCGGTAAACTATAGGGTGAATCAAGAGTTGACACTGCCTGCTGTGTGACTGCAATGTGGTGCTTAACATCATGTTAGTTAACAATCTCCTCAAGGCCATGCTCTAACCCAACCTCATTTTCAAACCTTTAATGAGAAGAACAGCAGGGCAGTAATGTACTTAAGCAGTAAGCTCTTTGGGCAGGGACCCTCTTTTTGCTTTGTGTTTGTACAGCACCTAGCACAATGAGGTCCTGGTTCATGGCTGGGGCTCCTAGGCACAACTGCAGTACAAATAATTATAATTAATAATAAGTCTTTTTTTGCATGGTTTTTGTGTGTAAAAGAAAATATGGAAAATCCCAGATAACCAGCCTTTTGAAATCAACTGCTACAAAATTGCAGCTTATTTTTTTTCCATTTGCCTTCTGCGTTGTTGTTGTTTTGTTTTTCCTACAGTAGAACATTGTGAAGTCAGGAAACCTGTTGAAAGTGACTGAATTTTGCAAATTAGCAAGTAATTGGGCAAACTCAATTAAAAAAATAGAGAAAAATCCCAGAATGATGCATCCCAAACTGTACTTGGTTCATTTATTTCGATAATTGTCATTTGTTTTTAATTATTTATTTTTCATTGTGTATTAGTGAGTGGAATGTAATATATCTGGGTGCAAATAATCATGCTTAACTAATAGGCAGCTTCACTAAAGTCTCCTCTGCTACTAAATCTTTACCAAGGCACAGGTAAGGTTTGTTGCATTTCATTGTGAATTATAATGGGTGTGGATTACCGACATTCTACTGCAATCATGATACCTTATGTGTTTATACTGCCTTGATTTGACAAACAGGGCCGGCTCTAACTTTTTTGCCGCCCCAGGCAAAAAAGAAGAGCACCGCCCCGCCCCGCCGTAACACCCCGCCCCAGCACCACACCACCGCGCCGCCCCCCAGAGCCGTGCCTGGCCGCCGAAACCCGCTTCCCCAGCGCCGCGCGGGGCCGCCCAAACCCCTCCCCGCCCAGTGCCGGGCCGGGCTGGGCTGGGCTGGGCCATCCAAATCCCCGGAGTGCCGGGCCGCTGAAACCCCCGCTCCCCCGAGCACTGCGCTGGGCTGCCGAAACCCCCGGAGCACTGGGCCGGGCTTGGCCGCCCAAACCCCTACCCCGGGCATTGCGCCGGGCCGGACCACCCAAATCCCTGGAGCGCTGCGCCGGGCTGGGCCGGCCAAACCACCTGAGCGCTGCACCGCACCACTGAAGCCCCTGCTCCCCCCCAGCGCCGCGTCGCTGAAACACCCCCGCGCTGCCCAGCCGAAACAAAAACAAACAAAAAACCAAAAAAACAGGGTTTTTTTTACCCCTCGAGCGCCCCCCCCCGCCACCCCAACATTGGCCGCCCCTTCTGAGGTGCTGCCCCAAGCATGTGCTTGGTCAGCTGGTGCCTAGAGCCGGCCCTGCTGACAAAGCACTTCGCAAACTGTAACAGTGCCCTACAATACCCCTGACAATTAGGTTAATACTCTTTTTCAAATAGGGAAAGTGAGTCACAGAAAGACTAAGACTAAGAAATAAACCAAAGTCCACTGAAGTTAGTGGAAGTGTTTCCGTTGACTTCAGATTAGGCCTTAAATGATTTATCCAAGGTCGCACACTAACGAAGTCATAACTGGAAACAGAACCCAGGAGTCCTGATTCCCAATCCCCTGCTATGACCACTAGGACCCCTGCCTCTCAGATGCACATGTATTAACAAGGTAACATATTCCTAAAACTAAGGCATATTTTCTTCTATCTGATCATTTCTTGTTAGTGGACAATTCGGCTACTAAAGCATCCTGACTGTTAAATGATTCTTTGCTCACTGGCTAAGACTAGGAAATCGTTGCTTCCCTCCCGCTTCTGAAATTAAAATCAGAAGTGAATTTTCACAGCGCAGCTA